GGGAAGGGAAGGGAAGGGAAGGGAAGGGAAGGGAAGGGAAGGGAAGGGAAGGGAAGTATTCCCACTCTGCTGGCCTGAAATGGACACAATAGGTACATTGGGGACATACGGAAATATCAACAGTCATCAGCAACCAACTATGCAAGCTCTGATTTTTGCAGAATAAAGCTTCTTGGACAGAGAAAAACCATCAGTAAAGACTCAAAAGAACCTGGACAAAAGGAGGATAAGAGAACAAGGAGTAGTCGGAAAACAGGATTGTGGGCAGATCATGTTTTGTCTAGGAACAAGAACAAAGGCTGAAGCTACTATTGTTTAAGCAACGAGTTTCAAGAGGGAGCAGAAACCTATTTTGTTGCTCAATACGAGGTTAGTATGGAAAGGTGAGTTGGAAAAACAGCAGAATATTTACTGATTATCCGTGCTAGTAGCTGCTTACCAAGCCAAAGTGCAACACACTTTGACACTAATCCTCCATCCTGCTAGAACAGCTAAGCAGTGGCAGAGGACATTTTTACATTAGGCAGAACAAGCAGGTTTTCTATCTCTGATAATCCCATGTATGCATGGAAACCCCCTAGTGCTGAGACTAGCTATGAATTAGGCAAGATTTGGGGTTAAGAAGGTTAGCGGTGACAAGAGGAGGAAGGGTCTGGTTTTGCACAAGGCCAAAAGCAGAGAGAGAAGTTACACAGAAGACTCCTCACATGTTCAGTTATATCTGGCCAGCAGAATGTAAGAGCATCTCCTAGATTCTGAGTTCAAGTATTCAGGGAGTTTCCAGCTACAAGTCACAACATGAGCAGAATTAAAACTATCCGTTCACTCCCTCACAACCAGTGTTCTATTGGAATAAAACGCAGGTACTTCTGGGGTACAACTGGATAAGTGGGGGTTATGCAACTCAGTAACATGCTGCCAAGTGCTTCTTTTGCCTAGTTTAGACAGAGCTTTGAAGGGCTATGACCTTAGTCCAAAGCAAGTTCCAGAATAGTGAGGAAGTGGAGACAAAACAGTACAGACAGGAATTGTGTTGGCTCATTTAAACCTGTACATTCCTTGGTCCAACTGATGGATTTTCTAATAGCTTTACACTCTTTTTTTCCAAGATCTGCACAACAGGATCCAGTGACCACTTTGGAGAGGTAAGTACAGTGCAAGGCTGAACCCTCACAGATGGCATGTTCCCTCACGTAATGCCAGGACCAGCTGGCACCCTGCTGCCATGCAAGTAGGAGGGTGTGGATCTCAAAGTCCTGAAGGTCAATGCAGAAGCTTTCCTGGATAAAAGGAAAGCGAAAAGCATCTAACAGGATCCAGATGTACGACTCAAAGCAACATGGAAGGTGTTCAGCTGAAGAAAACCCTATGTGGCTGAAAGGGGGAAGGTACCTGTGTTTTTCATCTGTCTACAACGCATCTCTGAGGTGTAAAGTAGAAGTTAGGTATTATGTGCACTTTCCTCTGAGGCATCCCAAGCTGCTGCCAAAGGTAAGTCAAGGTTGGAAGTTTAGCCTGGTATCATCCAACTGTCCTTTTCCACACAGGAAGGGCAATACAGAGGCCCTAAGTTATTTCCTCTGCTTAACACATCCTCTCCCAAGCAACTAAATTCAACACAGGCTAAGATATGAGACAGTCAAGGAAATGACAGCTCATTTTTTTGTATGAGGGGTAGGCTTCCTGTGCAGTGAAAACCTACCAGTAAGGAATTGGGGAGAACCTGGACAGATGGAGGACAAGAGAACAAGGAGCAGTCAGAAAACAGGAAGGAGACATTGTGATCTCTCAGCCAGATGAGGAGCTGAGGAATATCCACCTCACAGCAGTCAACAGCGTAAGTCATCGTAATGGACACTCAGCTGGAAATCTCAAATTCCAATCAGGTCAAATGCTCTCTCAACTAGAATACTGGCTGCTACAGCGAGCATGGGAAAGACTCTCTCGCACGCTTCTTGTGAGAGCACACCTTGATCTGGACAGCGCTCCTGATTTAGCGTCCTGAATGCAGTGAGGCCTCTAACTAGATTCGGAAGAGGGAGGATAACATAAACTTACACCCTCAACACTTGATGGCATATACTGGCCTCACTCAGTGTGCTGCCTCTTCTGAGCACTCTGGTCTTTCCTTTGTTTTGTAGAGGGAAGCTTAGCCATGTAACTTATCAGCACACTATTCTTCTCGAAGTTCTACAGTGCCAAAGGTTTTCTTTTTTTTTCTTTTTTTTTTTCTTTTTTTTTTTTTTTGCCAACTAGGCCAAAAATCACTGGAAATTTGCAGCAGATTAAAGAACTGTACCCATACTAGATCATTCTTTTCCCACTCTGTATGAAGAAACAATTTCTGTTTCTCCTCTAGGAAGAAAGATTAGCACTTGGGTCTCTCTCTGGGTGGCTGTGGCCAAGACTTGCAGAGAAAAGCCATTAGTGCTACACAAACTATCCATGTATCTTTCCAGTGCTTTCCATATCCAAGAAGAATCCCGCTTGCAAGCAAACAGTTGCAGTCATTAGGCACTGAGAATGAACCCACTTCTCCCCAACATACCTGCAGGTATGTCTCCAGTGCGGTCCACACTGCCCAGTCCTTTAGCTGAGCAGCCTTCTTCAGATACGCTCTTATCCTTTCCTCCCGACAATTTGGCCTCAGCGCCTTATGGGCCTGATGTCTGGGAATCCCCAGTACCTTCTCATGCACATAGACAGACCAGAGATTGCAGGTAGCTTCTGTAGTATGAGGGGGGAATTCCCATGCTTGCTGCTGTTGATTGTGTCCCAGCTCATGGATAGGACCCCAAAGACCAGTGGCTTTCATGTGCTTCATGTCTACCATCTCCTTCACCGAATCAAGGTGGCCCATGATGGGGTAGCCAGCATGCATCCAGCCTGCAGGAAAAGACAGGTACCAACACACAGCATACGTCCTTATTCCAGCACTTCTTAGGTATAAATGGCCTTCCTCCATGTCATAAATCACACCTTGTAACCATGAGTGACAATTTTTCCTTTTATGAGATTATACCACAAACTTCACTATAACAGACAGATAAATAACAGGTGTAAGGGTAACACTGAATTCTCAGTTAGGTGCAGCTTTGCCCACTCACCCAGGACAGATCTCAATTATCTCACTCTGAGCACAGAGAAGTCAGTCCAACCATGCAATAATGTAATTCGGCACTCGGCAGTGCTTGACTCTTCCTATATAAATACTGCAACTCTGCACTCCAAGAGTTAGCAGTGTGGAAGAAACTCGTGGAGATCACAGTGCTCGACATGCTTAACTTCACAGAATAGCTGTTATCTAAACAATTTATCAGCATCATGCTGGGTGAGAATTTGGCACTGCCAGGGAATTTACCCAAGTATCCTGGGTGGCTTCATCTCTGATTTGCCCTTGAGGATTCCCAAAAATTCATACAAAAGTCACCTCCCCATCTCAAATACCTTTAACGGGATGGGTTAAACAGTCCTTTACACTCAGCACAAAGGGAGCTTACGTAACTGGCTTTGACCGACGACAAAGCCTGCACACTATCCAAGTTAGAGGACATGAATCACATATTCCTTGTTGCAGGAACTATTTAAGATCTTGAGTTCCCCTCAAGGGGAAGAGCCCTACAGCAAATCCTGGCAAGTCCAAAAGTTCAAGTTCAAAAATGTGAGTGTAAACATTTGGATAATCCAAACCACAAGGGAATTTTGAGTGTGCTGACTATGGTAATTTTAACTAGCATTTTCCCAGGACAGGACAATTTAACACTCTCAGATGTGCAAATAATTCTTTCCATGTGGTCTGGCGAGGGGTTAGGACATCAGGGTTCATGCCAAGCCCTGCACTCACTGTATTTATGATTTAACCGGTTGGCTTTGAAAAATAACGGAACAAACATAGCATTGCAAGCTTCCGCATTTACCATCTAACTGACTCTAAACGAAATGCTCTTGATTTACAGCTTCAGAAGTTCAGGTGGGGATGTGCGTGAGCATCAGTGTAAAACTACAAATCAGCCTATGATAGTGATGCACAGCCTGTTTCTTCTTTGCCGTCAGCTCAGACACGTGTTTTTTGAGGCTAAGCTTTGTCCATAGTAACCCTTGCATAGCATGTCTCCAGCAGGCCATACAGCTACAACTTATTGTAAGCAAACAGTCCTGTAACTGAGGCAGGGAAAAATAGAAACCAGGTCACTATCTCCCAGATACACTGTCCCTGCAGTGCATGCAGGAGGCAGAATGAACATCTGCCTGTGGCCAAAACCACTGCAGGCAGCAGCTCTGCCTCAGAACACTCAGAGAGCAGAAAACCTGAGTGAGACGATACCAGTTTCGAAAACAGGGGGGCAAATGCAAGAGTCAATGTGTTTCACCAGATTTCTATCCTGATGGAGCAGCTCACTGTTATGCAAGTCTCGCACCCCTTATGTAAGTTTGCAGTCCAATTTTAGCACAACAGCCTCCGAGAAATAGGCACTGCTGCCAGAGGCCACTTTTTTCTGGGCTCCCTTAGAAGGCCCTGGAGCAAATATACCTACCACACGAGATCTGGACATCCGTTACAATCCTCTCCGGCCTTGGGAATTTTGTTGGAATGGCCGCCAGCGTGCTTATTGCCACCATGATCTCGTCCCACAGGCTGAGCAGTGGCTTGGGGTTCTCTATGTGGCGAATGCTGTCCGCTGGCACCGTCAGGATGAGATTCTCCACAGCCAGTTCTGCCCAGGGAGCTGGGTAATGCCGGATACAGGCCTGCCACTGTTTTTCACAGGTCTCCCCTACATTAACACAGAAAATCATCGTGGAGCACACTCCCAGAAGTCAAGCCACAGAAACATGTGCTTTAGAGGTCTCCTCAGGGCTCTTGTGTGGATAGGAGACAGAGACAGAAAAGGGCTGTCTTACAGTCAAGACACAGCAAGAGCAGATACCTACTTCCTATCTGAGAATAAGAAACAACAAACTTCTCCAGTATCTCTTAATGATCTTATTTTCTGTTCTCCAGCAGAGAGATAACAACACTGATTGTTGTTTATTCTGACAGAGGAGCAAAAGAAGATCCATACAACAAGAGAAGGGAAATCGATGGAAACACAGGAAAACCCATCAGTGGAGAGATTACTACTTACTTGCAGGGACTGGAGGTGGCCCCATATGGCAGGCATACGGCAAAGCAAATTTGGGTTTTTGCTGAAAAATGACAACTCCAACCTCTAAGAAATGTCATTTTGGACAAATGGTGCCCATTTCACGACAACCCTCTCACTTGCTTCCCACCACACGGCAGTCCCAGAGCAGTACCCAGAATTCCAGGACAAGTCAAAGGAAGACAAAACAAGAAAACTAAACCCGGGCTAAGGTCAGTGGCCCTGAAGTCACAAGAATAACGGCGTCTATGAGTAGTGCTGAGGACAAGGCCACCAAATAAACAAACCTACCGAGTTTGAAAAAAGGAGCTCTCACTGCCCCTTCTACAGTAATGGACAGTTTCCCCAGGACACTCTTTCCTGGCACTGTGATGTAAATAAGGCCACCCCAGAGGCAGGAAACAGGCTGCTTCGGGCAGGTAACATCACAGGTGCGAATCACCACTGGAGCCCGTTTCAGCTGCGCAGCGTGAGAGAGGTCATCCGTGTGACATCCAATCTGCACCTGGCAAACAGAAGGGTAAGAAGAGCTGAGCAAAGCACTCCAAGGGCAAGCTGACAGGCCACAGCACCCTGAAGCCCTTGGTGCAGGACTGTCCTTTCAGGGCACACATACGGAAGCAGCCTTCTGTCTCCAACCCTACTCAAGTTTTCAGCCTGTGGTGTGTAGAAGCAGCAAAGCAAGTGGGAAGAACAGCAAAAAATGAAGTTCAGTGCTGTCCCTGTCAATTTTCACTTCTTTTGCCTCCTTCACAGTCAGCAGAGACTGCAGTGATTTCCCTCACTAGAGCACTGTACCAATCTTCTCTTCGCTCTTCAGCAGCACTGAAGTAATACCCAAAAAGGTGAGGTGAAGAGATGGATCCTTGCTGACTTCCCTTCTTGTGCCTATTTCCTGGTAGTGATACAGTAAAACAGACAGCACGGGGCTGCAAAATCACACAGAACAACCTGAGTTAACATTGGATTTCAGCTACGTGGAGCTTTCTGAAAAAAAAAAAAAAAAAAAAAAAAATCTCCAAGGAGGTGAGCACTGGTCTTCTTTGTTCTTATATAGCAGGAGCCCAAGTAGCTAGTTTGTATGTGATCTGTATACATAAGAAGTAGGGACAGCGCCACAGAAGTACCTCACAAGACATCTGAAAACAGACAAGGCTAAGTTTCCTTATCAGAAAAGCCTATCTGAAGGGTGAAAGAAAAGCACAAATGCCTTAAGGCAGCAGCCACACTCATTTAACCAACTAGCACATGGAAACCATAACAGTAAAGAGAAGGAAACGAGAAAAGATCATAATGCACTAAAAGTGCCATAGGGTGGCAGCAGTAGGCAAGGATTGAAATGCCAAAAATAGTAAGAAAAGCCTCCTGAGTCCCTTTTTCGAGTGCTCACCTGATAAATACATCAGTGAGCAGTAGTCAAAATCAAGAAAACTCACCTGCAGACCAGCACCAACCGCCATGCAAGGGAATGTTATAAGTGCTGTGTGTCCTTCAGGGAGATAGAGACCCGTGCTCCTCCAGGCTGTCTTACCTAAAAGTTAAGACAGTCCTGAACAATCAGCACTTTTCCAGCCTAATGTCATGCATTCTGGAGGTCTCAAGCTGCAAAAAGAGAATCTCCATCCTCTCTTGCCTGGCTCTGCATTCACCTAACTGTCTAGTGTTTTACCCAACCTCTCAGAAATACATTTCTGGTTATAAAGCAAAAGGTATTCTGTGAAGAAGCCTGTTAAAAAAATGGAATGCTTGCCCACCCAAATTTGAACTTCTGAAAATGCCAAGCTTAAATGCACTTCCCAACACCTTTAAAAACATAAAAAAGAAACCAAACCCCAACACCTCCACTTGGATCCTCTCAAAGGAGAGCTCTAAGAAGGGATACATACTGCCATGATATTAAATACAGTTGCAAAGTTAATAGTCACAAATCATTTCCTAGATAACACACAGTAAAGTCATATTTTCTCTAAAGTCTGGTCAGCACAGGTTGAGGACGACACAAATTCCTATTCCTAGCAGACTGCAATTATAGTCAGAAGAGAATTGCATTTCTGTCTAAAAGCTTGATGAATTGTACTGGAATGCTGGGGTGCCCAGCTTAAGAGTTACAGCTAGGATAGGATAGACCTTTTAGGCTTTCTCCTAAGATCTCTGTGGACAGTTCTGGCACACAGTGCAAAGATGATCCATCTCTCTTGCACTGTCCAGACAAAATTCACTCACTAGTTCTCATATACATTTATGCAAGTGTATTTCAGCATAAACTGTAACAGTCCTAGAAAGAGTTGTATGGTCATAGAACACATTCATGAAAGAATGAGCCATTTTTCCCAGCAAAATATTCTTCAAGAAAAAAAGTAAATATGGCAGTATCATGTCTCACCAAATACCATGTATGTTCAAATGCCATGTTTCAGCAATTTATCTTGGTTTTGCTTGGCTTGCCCTGATAGCTTTTTTGGAATGGTGTTTAACTTTAAATTGTGGTTTGCTGGTGTTTCCTTTTTTATGTGAAACTATACAGATACCAAATAATTTCCGGCAAAAAAAAAAAAAAAAAAAAAGAAAAAACAGGAAAAAAAAAAAAAGTGTTTAATCCATTGCGTTGAATTCAATTAGTCCTAAGCATTTTTCTGTTTTTGTCCTGACTTGTAAGAGAACTGAAAACCAGTGAACAGTTGTTCTGCAACTCTTCTCTCTACATAACATCAGCACTCGGATATTGCCGCTTCAGAAGATTCTGTCCTCATTTAAATAGTTTTCCAAACAGCTCCTCTCTGAGATATTCAAATACAAAAAAATAAGGAGAATCTGTCCAGGAAAAAGCAACTTACTAGTGGAACTACCTAGCATTCAAAAATATTGTTTACACACAAGAATCTTAATAGGAATATATAGATAAAAACCCTAAGTTTAGACTTCTTATTCAGGATGTGCTTATAAAGTAACTTGCCTTTAGTGAAAACAGCTTAAGAAGTTCCCAACTTCATTCCAGACCTCCCAAACCACAATCAGTTGCTTCTTCAGTTGTGCTTACACTAATTGTGAGACTGTGCTGTAACTTGGATTGAAATTCTCTGGATCAAACATAACCTTTCGTGCCCAATTCAGATCTTTTGGGGATGGCCATCAACACTGCAGGACCAGAATTTTGAGGTAGTTTTCTCACAGAAACCATTATGTTGCACAATTCCCTTGAGGTGCCTCTATCCAGTGGTTCATCCCCTCAGTGCCCTGTAATCCAACAGAGAGGGAGCTGAACTCCCACAGGGTGTTTCAGAGCACTGCAACGGAGGTTGGCCACAACAGGAGCCTGTTTGTCCCTGCAGTGAGATCTCCTTCCTCAGAAGCCCAAAGCAAAATCATACAGGCATCCCCATATGCAGCCGTGTGAGAACAGGCAACCACGCGAGGTGAGAGCCTGCTCCCAGCAGCAGCAGCATTCCTCAAGAGGGAGGGGGGTGACGCTTCTCACCAGGGTTTGTGCCATCAATCTCCACGGTCACAGGGAGGTCATAGACCCCGCAGGCGGGTTTCTGCACTAGGGCTGCGCAGTCCGTCATGGCACAGGACAGCTCGTTTGCGATGCAGAGAAGGGCGGCCTCTTTGGAGTTGCTCTGCACAGGGCATTGCCGGCTGACGCGCGGAATGCCGCTCCGGCGGAGCACTTTGCTCAGGAGGCGGTGGAGCGAGGCGTACGCGGGGCAGCCGTCGGCTGGGATGCGCAGAAAGGCAGCACAGTCTTGTGTCAGCCTTTGCAGCCAGTCCTTCAAGGGGCCTTTGAGCTCCTCGTTCTTGTCCACGTGCCTCCAGAAAAGCGAGAGCGCCTTGCGGAAGTGGTAGTGCTCCCCGGGCGCCACGGCCGTGTATTTAGCTGCCTTGATGTTCACACCCAGAATGCTGAGCCCAAAGTGGTTGAGGATCTTGTTGCCAGGGTATTCAGCCACATCAGCTTTGCTGCGGTGCTGGGAAGCCCAGTACCAAGCCTGGCCTCCAATGAGCAGGCCGCCTCCCTCCGCCACGAAAGCATGGATCTTCTCCACCTCCCTGTCGCTGTACGAAGGGCAGCAGTAAACACTCATATCACTTGTCAGGTGTGACACCTGGAACTTCACCTCTGCATGAGGGAACAAGTTACACAGTCTCTTCAGGCTGGCATCCACGCCTACGAGCCCCTTCTTGCCCTCGTCCAGCCACTGGAGAGCGTTGAGCAGGAAGCCCGCCAGCTTTGGGGAGTGCAGCTGGCTCTCGTGAGTTGCCACCACGACGCGCCCTTTGCCGTAGCGCGCGGCGGCCATGAGGCACCGGTGCGAGCTGTCCAGGCAGAGCGGGAAGGCGAGTGCGCCGTGCACCAGCAAGCTGGAGGGCACGCCTCCCGTGGCGACATCCAGCTCTGCCACGCCACGCAGCAGGAACTCGGCATCGAGGCTGAGATTGGCATGGTGTCTACAAAACCAAGAGAGGTCAGAGTTAGCCCCGGGCCCACACACAAAAGCTGTGCTGTCTTTTACACAGAAATCTGCCTTGTCCATCCATGTTCTTCCACCCTCACCTTAGTACGTCTCATTGCCAGTTCTAGCAATTTTAGAAATGCCTTTATTTTTCCTTTTAAGGTTTCAGGTTTAAGGCTCAAATATATCTGTAAGAATCTCAGCATTCATTAAAAAAAAAAAAAAAAAAGAAGGGTCAAAAGGATGTTTCTAGGCCTGTGACTTTGAAGAACTGCTTAAAAATCCTTCTAAACACATCACAGGAGCTCAAAAATCAGAAGGCCTTTCACATATTTTAATCAGTCCCTTTAATGTTTAAACCTTGATATATGGATTGGCAAATCTCTTGTAAGGGAAACTTCATCCATTTCACCCATCCTAGAAATCATCAGCCAACAAAGCCCAAAATATTTCTCTGTGCTATTTCTTGGCTTCTATTGCTATTCAGAAATGAATAATAATAATAAGCTAGACAGATATGCATACAGACAATGAGCAATTGGAAGATGACTTAGACTCCTTATACATACTCCTCAAATTTCCATCAGTTGACCTCTATCATACAAAGTCATTTCCACATAACTCCTATATGTCACCATGGTAAATCACGTTGAATTGCTTGATTTTGCTTTGTTTATACTTTCTCTCGGTTTCGCTAGTATAGTTTTACCAAACAATTTTCTCTCTGGCATGGGAAAGCATCTTGTTACACAGTCTTTGCAGCCAGCTCAGTGAGAATAAATGATTCAGCTCTTCTGCACACCCACAGGACAGGAATTAAGAGTGCAGCTCTCATTATCAGTTTACTCCAGTCCATTACCACAGGACAGGTCTCAGGCATATGGCACAGCACCTGCATCAGACTGCAGTCTGATTTGCTGTGGATTAAGCACACACTGGCAGGAAGGACCAGATGAAGCCCTCTGTGGCTCTGGGTCAAATTGAAGCTATACTTCAATTACCTTTTAAAACAGTATTAGTTGCTATGTAACTTTTCTCTGGTGAATCTTCCATTCCTCTCCCTTTTTTTTATCTACCTGTGAACTGCAGCTGGGGAAAAGAGTCATTCAGAAAATTTTAATTAAATAACTCCTTTTTTTTTTTTTTTTTGGCTGTCCCCTAAGCAATTTTCTGAATTCAATAGCAGAGCTTTGAGCTGCCTTTACCAGGATATAAATTCAGCTTCTAGGAAGTATCAGATCCAATAATTTATTGAAGCTTAGTTTCATATATATATAAAAAAATGCCTGCGATGAAAGAAAAAAAAAAAAGCTTGTAGGTAGTTTTATTATAATTACAGCTTTCAATGCAGTGTGATGGAATTGCCACTCAGAGGAAGCAACACAGCATGCACGCTCCTCCAAGACCCCATTGAACCTCAACTCTGGAGAAAGCTGTGGCTGGTACAGCTTGGCATGCTAAATGGGGAAGAGATAGAGAAAAATGGCATCCAGCATCCTGGTGACTTGTCTGCTCTGTGATGCGGGTCACAAAGGCCCTGAATTTTATACGTGTGCTTTAGGTCCCAAAGGAGCACTCTGGAATCCCAAACCATCTTGGAGCATAGAGGTTTCCTGCCCATGGTCTGTGTCAGGTGCAGAGAAGGGATGTGGCACTGGCCCAGCCTCCTCAGCTCTGTCTTCACCCTGAGGCTTCACTCACACCAGTGAATTTCTGCAAGTAACAGGTTGAACAGGTTTAATAGCTGCCAGCCTGAGCGTGTCTCAGAAAACCAGCCAGATGTTCCATCTCAAACCTGTTTTTTAACCATGCGAAAGCCACACTTGCCCTGAATGTACAGTTCTGGGGGCAAAGGAGAGGAGTTACTCTTTGCTTCCCCAAGTTGCGGTGTGTTGCCCACAGATGCATTTGGATGTTCTCATACAGGCTGTTCTAAATCATGGCTACCCTCATTTCTTGCCCCGACTGATTTCCCAGAGCCTTCCCCAGGAACCCTGGAAGCAGTTAGAAATCACTCTTTGAGACAGGAGATAGTAAGAAGATATCTCTTAAATTTCAAGATAAAAATTGCATCCCTGTCTGCTAAAGACCCAGGATTCCTCATCATTCTCATCTAACTTGAGAATCTAGTGTAAGCATCTCACCTGTATAGCTTTATGAGCTAGTTAAATAGACATAACAGTTCAGATGATACTCACGGGACAAGTAGGGGAATCTTGGGTATCTTCTTTGAAACTTTGAAGATCCCCTTCCCCACACAGTTTCCAGTGAAATAGACACCAGCCACACTGGTCACCTGGTTCCCAGGAAATTCAAACAGCACCTTCTCCTTGCCGTGTCGACTAGCCCAGTACCAGGCCTGGCCTCCAATGAGCAAGCCCCCACCTTCCTTTACGAAGTGAATCAGGTTCTTTGCCTGGGTACTGTCATAGGCATCCATACAGTACACACCCAGAGAAGCACTGAGCTCTGCTCCAGCCTGCACTTTGGTGCCAGCCCCAAGGAGCAACTTGGAGAGGGAATCCAAATGATGATGGACCCCAACCAGCGCCCCAGGGCAAGGCTTGAGCCAGTCCACAGCATTTCTGAGGAACTGGGAGAACTTGGAGTCCTTCAAGATTCCCTCATGAGAAACAACCACCATCCGGCCCTTCCCATACTGTGAGACAGCGATCAGAACTTGTTTTTGAGGGCTCACAAGCACAGGGTAGGCATCTTTTCCAGTAAGCAGCAGCTCGCAAGGAACAAAGCCTCCGGAGAAGTCCCACGACCCAACACCATCCACTAACAGCCCATAGGCGTCAGCAAGTTTCATCTTCAGGTCACTCTATCTGGTGGAGAGAAGACCAACATTCACTACTGGATCACTTGGCTATAGAGAACTGCTATTGACAACACTACAGGGTCATTTCTTTGTTGTCTTACAGTAACTCCAAACCCAACATGAATAATTTACTGGAAGCAACTTCATAAGCACAACTTCTCAGGGATTCTTTATTATTTACTTATTATTCAGTTTTGTTAACATACTATTTACCATTAAAAAAAAAAAGACACTTATATAAGGGAAAGAGACTGATGTAACAAATTGGGCTATTCATCATGACGAAGAACCGGTAAGCTAATATGTTGCTTGGGACCTTTCCCACTTACAATTTATATGAGAGGCAGGGGTGTTAGAGACTTCAGGCATTCTGCTAGGAACTTCCTTAATAGTGGCTTACAAGGAAAGTGCCAGAAACTAAAATTGTGAAAGCAATACAAAACACAGAAGCTGCTGGAGGTAAAGAACTTATCAGCACGATAACTCCAATATGCAAATCCACTTTCTAATTGGATACATAGAGAACTACATCAACAGTTGCTCCAAGATAAGCTCCCAAAGACATGCTTTTCTACATACCTTAAGACACTGAAAGAAATGGGTATTATAAAGTACCTGGAGGGAGGGAGGAGGAGGATCAGGATAAATGATGAAGACAGTCAGCACCTCTGGAAGAACAGGGACTTGGAAAAAAGGTCTGGGAGCCAGAAATTCACTCCTTAGTTCCTTGCTCTGAATCGCCACACGATCTCAGTGAAATCATGTCCCTTCTCCGTAGCTTTGTTTCCTCACCGATGAAGTGAGGTGAACGGTGCTGACCTCAACTGCCAAGTCCTTTGAGGTCTATGGGTGAGATGTGCTCTATTTAGGCTCCCCCGGGTTGAAGCTTTGTCTTCCTCAGCAAAAACAAAACAAAATATCCTTGATGCTGGGCCGGGGCTGCTGTGTAACAGACTGTGCAAACAGGATAGTTTTGAGGCGGAGTGCTTAAATTAGACCCACCCCAAGGCTGACTCAGAGCAGAACGCCTATGGCAAGAGAAAGAGCTGCTTTGAGGTGGGGTTGGCCCTCCTCCTGCTTGTGACATATGCCAGCACTGAAAGGACACCTTCTGGTCTTCACTTTTATGTGCTACCCTGAAAACCATCCTTAGAGTGCAAATACGGAGAAGTGGAGTCATCCTGGAGCAGCTGCATCCTCGATATGGATTTATTCATCATGAGCCCGGAGAAGTTCAGAAACTGTAACCTGATCATGAATGACAGCATAATTTCCCCTGGCCTGTCCTCTGGACATGCCTGAAAGCTCCTATTTTTCTCTGAAGCTTTCCTGAGGCTCTGGAGTTGTTTAAATATGATTTTTTTCAGCTATTTTAAATATGATTTTTCTGTGGCAGCTGGTGACTAGCACAGGGAAAAAAAGCTGTATCACCCAGAAATTCATCAGTCATTTGTTTACTTATTCTGAATTTCTTCCCTGTGTTTGAATGAGCATTAAATTTAAAGGCTTAGCCTGAATCAGGTGTGGCTGTTTGCAGAAAGATTTTAACTCTTTCTTAACAGGATATAACTATCACACTGTGCTTAGAATTACCGATTTCTATGTATTTACATTTTAACATTTATTATTGCATTAGCCATTTAGTTACTTTTGCAGAAACACAGAGCTGTAGTACTCAATCGCTTTCAACCAATTCAGCACCTTTAAACCAAAGTATTACAACAATTAGGTATAGTATGGTTTATATTGGCGCTTTTGAGTGCAACTCAGTTCAAATTTATATTCTTGGGGATGACTAATCAGCTAATAAATCTTTGCTCAAATGGCCATGCTTCTCTTAGAAATTTACATAGCCATAAATAGTTAAGGAAGTATCTGCAACTTTGTCCAGTCTATCCACTTCTCACCCAAGGAATCACTAATTCAAATGGGAGAGCCTTCTCCACCTACCACAGCCCTAAGTCCAAAAATAGATGACACTCCTAGTTCAGCTCTGCCAAAAAGTGCTTTTGACTTCACACACAGTCAGTGAGCAGCAGGAGCCATAGATGAGGATTTTTTTTACCTTAGTGTTATAAGTTAGTAGGAAGAGCACCATGGTGAGGGGAGACAGTCTAATGAAATACACCCCAGGTTAAAAAATTATAGGCACACTGTGCAAAATAATCAATCTTCTGTTCAGTCCTCAATTCCTTATCAAGTAAGTGACACTACAGATAACTTCTGTGGCCATTCTCATGATTGCTAGTGCCTCCTCATATGAATGGCATTATGTTAAAGCATTGCATTCATATCACGGGATCCAAGCTGAAATGACAAAGTGTAATTTCTACGGAAACTTGGACAGCTTATATGGCACATAGCTAGCTTGCTTTCCTTCATAGTTTACAGGCAAAACTATTCACAGTGATCTACACTGTGCAGTTACCCTGTAACTCCCATACCGAGACCAGTAATGGTTTAGGCTTTGCTTGTTTCTGTGTTTCCAAAGCATGTAGAGGTTTTCAGTGTGGAGAAAAAGAATGTGGCACACCCATTATACTCATATACCCATTCTATAGGATTCGAGCAGACACAACAAAAGACAAACCCCTCTTTGTAGGGAGAGAGGAGAGGATCTGGAAAGGAGAACAAACACCATGGTCTAACAAGAATTACGGGAAGATGCAGAAGACTGAGATCTTTTTCATGTGAATTTGAAGGAAACAGCAACTGGTTCTAGGTATGCACAGCAGGAAGAGGATGATCTTAACTCCCTTAGAAACATGACAGTGCAAACTCTCTGTGAAAATGTTCAGAATAAGCTGAAGACTCCCCTCCCCATTCCTTGTCCTCCTCCTGTTGCTTCCACCTCTGATCTCCAGACAGCTCTCACTCTCTCCAGAGTGGAGGATATCAAGAGTAAGGTTTGTGCATACATTCATAGGTAAAATGTTGGAGACTGTAGAATATGCATGAGGGACACAAAATAGGGCTCAGGGCAGCCACTGGGAAAGGTCATCAGCTAGGAACATGTGCAGCCTGCATGGTGAGATTCTCTCTCTCTCTCCTTTACAGTCCAGCTGTAAGCACAGCATTCAAGCACCCAATTTGCTGCCAGTCCTCTAGATAGTAAAGAATTATTATGGCATGAAGAATGGTGCTGGTCCTTCTAATGTGTTTCTTAATAAAATTGTGCAAAGCGAGGAATGCAGATATTCAGCATTTGCTGAAGAGACAAAACAACTTACACGTTAATTATGCCTATTCATTATCAGAATGAGAGTGTTAACAAAGGGAGAACACATCTTAATTAAGAAACTGAGCAGGAGATTAGATAGACTAACAGCTAACCCATAATCTGGGGCAGACTAGGAGGCCCAAGTGGATTATCCACAAAAAATTATCCTAGGCAGGCAAAATAATCTGGGGGATGTGGCCTTTCAGAAGGCTGATGTTGAGAGCTCAACTAGTCTCTGTGGGCTCCATTTTTATCAGAGAAAAGGAACAAGAAATTGGAGGGAGCAATCCATGTGGTCTACTTTAACCCTCTTCTTTAGCATGACATGGATCACTTACACACTCCACTGCCTGGATCTCTGCTAATTATAACGGGAGCTAAGAACAATTAGCTCTGATGTAATCCTTTCTAATTAAATGAAACCCATCTCAGCAATCCAAGGCTTACATGAAGAAATTAAATGTCACTGAACTCTAGAAACTGCCTTATTTCTTTCTTCTCAGCAAGATCATCTGAGTTCAGGCAGACAATGCCCTTGCTAGCAAGGGAAGCCTCACTAATTCACTGTAGTGTGTCACACACGCTTAGTAAACTGTGTAGGGTGAGTGTAAAATTAACATAGGCAAAAACTGAAAATGCACCTGACAGTTCTGCTTCATAGAAATCTACGTCTAATAGCAAGAGCTGGCTTAAGCACATGGACGATAGCCTAGGGACGGGATCAATGACTTTCTGGATTGCGTGTCCCAGTTGTGTTCACGTGCTTCTCCATCCCACCCTTCAACACCCGTGAAAGCAGAAGGACCATGAAGCCACCATCGCGACAGCAGTAAAACGTGAAACTTGAAGACCAACTAATGTGAAACAAAGATGGTGAGAAAAAGCGCTGCATTCAGGTGCAAGAGACTGAACACGAACAAGAACACAATACCTAAACTTGGGCACCAGTTTTTCTCAAAGAGCTTATCAGAACGGTGGTAAAGACAACATTTATTAGAGATATAAGGGACTAGGCAACAAAGATACAGAGTAAGCAGAGGCTTGCGCAGGAACGATAAGTTGGGAAAAAAAATAAAGCAAGCCTTCTTATGTTACTTACCTATATCAAAGAAACAACGATAAATAGAATCATAGAATCATAGAATGCCAAAGGTTGGAAGGGACCTCAGAGGTCATCGAGTCCAACCCCCCTGCTCACGCAGGGTCACCTAGAGCACGTGGCACAGGGCTGCATCCAAGCGGGTTTTAAAGATCTCCAAAGAAGGAGACTCCACAACCTCTCTGGGCAGCCTGTGCCAGTGCTTTGTCACCCTCAAATACATCAAGAGGAACTAAGAGCCAGAGGAAAAGTAGGTGAAGCTGTAAAATTAATCGATCTAAAGCAACAATTAAAAGCTGGATTCACCAAGAGAAACATCACAAAAACCTCCAATAGGGTATATAGTCCAAAGGTGGTTGTTGATAAAAGCCAGGTGGAGGAAAAAAAAATAATCCCTGCAAATTAACAGAAGCCGGTTATCAAAGACATTTTAAATCAAGATAGCAATTCAATTTTCCCCTCCTCACCCCCAGGAACTGTGTTGAAGTTACTAGAAAACTGTTCAGCCCTTTCCTACAGCACTTTACAGCAGTAGATTACGAAATACTACAATGTCCAAGCTTAGTAAAATATTGCTGTGTTTTAATGAGAGAACCAAGAATTGTCCACCCTTTCTGGCAATGTTAGCAAGTATCCATTAGGGTACTGGCTGCTGTGCAAAGAAACAGAGAA